CCTTCCCGCCGGCTCCTGCAGCTTCACCCGGCGCTGCGTGCCCGGGCCGAGCTGGGATCGTGCTCCTGCATCCCTCTAGGACACCCCGATCCTTCCCGGAGGGGACGGGGAGCTCTGCAGGACCCGGGTGTTGTTCAGCCCTTCCGAGGCAAACGCCGCTTCCTGGAGGGGAAGTCCCGGCCAAATTTAACCCCCCAGGCCGGACTGAAATCCTCTCTCGCTGCCGAGAACCCAGGCAAGGTGTCCAGCAGGAAGTCCCAAACCTTTTTTTTGGGGGGTCAGCTCGCTCTGTCCCAAACCCAGGCGCTGATGCAGAGCTGGGATGCAGCAACCAGAGCATCACAACCCCCAAAAAGGATCCCAGCCCTCCCTGCGCTGCCCTGAGCCACTCATTCCCTCGTGCCTCAGTTTCCCTCGTGCCTGCAAGGTGTCCCGGGGTCCTGCTGCCCGTGATTTGTTCCGAGGGGAATGTTTTTCGTGGCCGTGGGCAGGACAGAGGTGGCTTTGTCACAGCGCAGACACCGGGATTTGCTTCGAGGAGGACCCGCAGGCGGGGGAATCTGAGCCTCGGAGAAAACCGAGACTTAGATGAAAGCCTAATTAAGGAGCTAATTAAAGGGGAGGTCTGGCTAAGTGGCCAGTAGGCAGAGCTCCGCTGATTTATGCCTTTAATTTCGGTTTTGCTTTCCAAGAGGAACGGGCTGAGGGCAAAGGCAGGGCAGGGCCGGTTCTGTGCCCGGTTCTGTGCCCGGTTCCGTGCCCGGTTCTGTGCCCGGTTCTGTGCCCGGTTCCCACGCGATGCCACCAAGGGACCCCTGGACAGCCAGCTGGACTGTCCCTGTGCCTTTCTGGGTGACTCTGGGGTCACCTACTCGAGGGTCTGGCCGGCCACACCCTGCTCCCATCGCCCACAGGGTTCTGCTCACCCCAAAATCCTGGATTCCCCCGGTGCTGCCCACAGGGGTCTGCTCACCCCAAAATCCCGGATTCCCCCGGTGCTGCCCCGCACTCACCACCAGCTCCATCCTGTGCTCCATCCAAATTTTATTTGGGAAGCCGCAGGCATTAAACTCAAAGTCCCCAAATTGTCAGGGGGGGACAYGCAGGGGGTCAGGTCAGAAACGGGGTGAAGGAATGGGGTGATGCCATAATTCCTGGGATGCCCAGGCGAGCGGGGACATCTCTTGATAAGTTCCCCAGAGGGAAAGACAACTTTGGGAGCGGAGGGTTTGGGGTTGGTGCTGTGGGGGAGCAGGGTGGGTTCACCCTCGGTGGGTCCGGGGTGCCCTGTGCTCCGGGCACCGCTGGMTCTGTGGTGTGGGGATGTGCAGGGCGAGGGAGGCGTGGATGGAGTCAATCTTTGTGGTTTTTGGTGAGGAACTGGGTCGCGGCCACCGGGTAGCCCAGGTGAAAATCCTCCACGAAGTTCTTCAAGTCCCAGGAGCCTGGGGAGAGAGGAGAAGGGGCTGAGAAGGGCTGAAGCGGGGATGGAG